GTAAAAAAAAAAAAAAAAAGTATTTCTCTTTATTTATTCCTTCTCTTTCTAGCTTGTACTTATTTGAACAATGTCTAGAAACTTGGTATTACAAGCACTTCCTGTGTCTGTTTGCCTCTTTAAGAAGAATCGCTTTATGTATCCCCCAATTGTAAGTCACTTTGGATAAAAGCGTCTGCAAAATGACTAAATGTAAATGTAAACACAAGATGGGTAACTGGAAGAGAATTGGAGAAGGGACGCAGGCGGTTTCCAAATCAAAGAAATAAACAAAAAGAAAAACCAAGCTACCTAGTGACCCAACCACCAACCTAACTGCCAAAAGAAAACCATGAAAACGAAAAGAGTCTTTGCATCCGTGACGCGCTACCTGCCCTAGTTAGTGTTAACTATCAAAAGGCAAAATATACAGTGGGTGGAGCTCGCCCCTAAACTAGTGTGTCTAATACAATATAGGGAAATGTCTACCTGTGCACGATGTATGTCGCGCGACCTTCTTACCTGTCCCTTTCTCCAACCTCGGGTGTGATGAGCGCACAATAACGAGAGGTTAACGAATGGAAATATGAACAATAGTCAAGTGAGATATGTACAATGTTAAACACACCGGCTCACTATAACACAACTACAGAATGACACACAGAACGAAGTTTTGAAGCATCTAGCTTCGCGAGTGGTGTCTTCTCTCCACTTTTATGCCACGGGGGCACCAATCAGATTGAAGGTCTGGTCAGTGACTTCACAGGATCACGGGAACCAGGCGAGCGGCGTGGGCTAATAGGACGTGACTATGAAAGTGAAAGTAAAAACAAGAGAGACTCGGGAAAGAAATAAAGAGACATTAATACAACGCAAGGATGTAACATTGGAAAACAAGACAAAAATACAGAGGAAGAAAATGACATTTACAGTAGTTTTCCCGTCTGTGAGCAGTGTTATTTTAATATCACTGAGAGTTTGTGTTAATATTTTGAATTGGATTTTATTTTTAAGTTTTGTTTTCACTTTAACTTTATCTAAAGTTTTAGTCGTTTTGGTTTTGGTTATTTTACTACATCAAGTTAAACTAAATGAAAATAAGAAATGTATAAACTCATGTTAATGTTGCAAAACTCAGTTATGAAACAAACTCACTTTCAGCTGTAGTTCTAGCTTACAGAGTTTCGAGTAAGAACTAGTCTAATCTATCAGCGCTTATTTGATGTTCTTTTCTCTATCTGAACTCAAATCTCACGCCGCTGCTGATTTTACTCAAGTAAAAGTAATTCAAAGATTTACTTGAGTACAATAAAGTACTAAATTTTTAATGTTCTTAAGTGTTAAAGGCAAAACAAACAAAAAAGTAAAAAGTATGACATTATGCTTTGGAATGTAGTCAAGTTTTCCAAAGAAAAACACTCTGATAAACTACAGATGCTTTTTAAATTTACTTGAGTAAAGTAAAAATACTTCACTGCTGTCTGCCTCTGCTGACAGCTATAGAGCAGATATGGACAGGCTTCCTATAACGCTTTGCTGTTTATAATGGTTGGGACCCCAAGGGGCTGATGGAGATCATGCTGGGAAAGCTGGAAGATTTGGGGAATCTTGCTCTAATGTCTGTAATGACATTATAATAACATCTGGAGGCCTGTTTTGTGTCTCACACTCGCTTTACTCTGGTTTATCTGTATGTATCGGTCTGTATTTGATGGAAAGAGGATGTTGTGTTGCCATCAGACCTAAGAAGAATGATAATACTGTGATGGTCTTCTAAAACATCCCGCTCCTACATCTGCTGAATAATCACATAGAAGTTATGATTTGTTTTAAGTCGAGAAACTACATGCAAAACCAGTGTTTTATTCCTCTCATTATTCTGAAGGCTTCTATTTTATTCACACTGATTTATACGACATTTTACTCCTAAAAACACAGTGAAAATGTGTTTGTTTTCTGTCTGTTGACAGTATTTTCTGATTTATGGAGTGATAAAAAGAGAAATCCAAAATCCCCTCTGGAAAACTCTTTATGATTCTTTATGACTCACTGGTTAAAAACAAGAATTTTTATAAAAAAAACTGGATGTTTAAGAAATTACGTTTCCTAACTTAATGGGAACCTTACAAAAACGTTATTGGAAATTGTTAGCTGGGAAAAGAATACATGTGGATTTTGTCGTCTTTTAGCAGTATGTGCTGTGTTGAAATCTGCAGACATGAACTAAAAGACTCTAAACTGCAGCTTTGATGTAGTGGAATCTGTATCATATTCAGCATTTTCTCTTCTTGATATTTGACACTGACTCGATCCCCTGCGCAGCAGTGACGCGTGTGTGTGTTTTAGCGCGCGAGATCACCGGAGAGTCCAGCATCAGAGCCAGAGCCAGAGCCAGAGACAGTCACGGTGCCGGACGAACCGCAGACCGGAGCAGAGCAGAGCGGAGCGGAGCGGGTTTATCAGGTCAGTAGCTGCTGTTTGTTATCATATATTGGGCTTTAATCGCGTTATTCCTGCGTTTAACGCGGAGGAGCGCGCGGGACCGCTGGACTGGACAAATGTGTCAGAATCGCTCATTTCTCGCTCCTCGCATGATTATGAGCTACATTATCTGAGATATGATATTTTATGAGGTAATATTCTCAAATGTGACGGTTTCAGGTGATATTTCGCTCTTATTTGCTCTCATTAATGTGAGTTCGTCTCGTTTATTAATCGGATTGAAGTGTCAGACGGGGACAGAATGGTTTGAAATGTAATATCTGACTGTAATGCTCAGTATTGTGTTGTGTTGTGTTGTGTAATGTGATGATGATGTAGTTGTGATGTTGTGTTCAGGTGACGCGAGCAGGTGCAGCGCGGGTTGGTTCTGGTGTTAGAGGATTATTTTCATTTATGGCGTACTTGTTTTGTCCACATTTAATGGGAAAACCAACAGTGATATTTCAGTTAGTGCCCGAGTTAGAGCAATGGTTTTGTTTATGAACGTTTTAACTAGTCAGTATATATAGAGAAAAAAATAGGTTTAAAATAGGGTTTATTTATGGTAAAAAAAAAAATTTAAAAAGAAGGTAAAAATAGGTTTATTTTTATGATTAATTATATGAAATAATATAAAAATCATTTTTATAATAAAATGTATTTTATAATCTTATACATTATAATAAATATAAATATATTTTAAAAATATAAATTATGTCTAATGTATTTAATAATTAATTATTTAATAACTATTTTAATAATAATCATTTAATACATTTTTATTTTATGATCTAAATTAAGATAATAAAAAAGGAATAAAAATTGAGTATAATAAAAAAATAAAACTTAATAATAATAATTA